GAGTCCCGTGCTAGTTTTGTAAGTTTCCACAACTCACATTGGTCCATCCCGAGGTGTTTGAGATGTTTCCCAGGCCGTCTCATGGCTGTTGCTTGATTTTGGCCCCCGAAGGCCTATTTTTGAAGCTTAACTGTGGAAAAGTGCATTTTTGGACTTAGTTTTCAAACCGAGAGTCCCGTGCTAGTTTCGTAACTTTCCACAACTCACATTTGTCCATCCCGAGGTGTTTGAGATGTTTCCCAGGCCGTCTCGTGGCTGTTGCACGATTTTGGCCCTTGAAGGCCTATTTTTGAAGCTTAAGTGTAAAAAAGTGCATATTTGGACTTAGTTTTGAAACCGGGAGTCCCGTGCTAGTTCCGTAAGTTTCCACAACTCACATTGGTCCATCCCGAGATGTTTGAGGTGTTTCCCGGGCCGTCTCGTAGCTGTTGCACGATTTTGGCCCCCGAAGGCCTATTTTGAAGCTTAATTGTAAAAAAATGCATTTTTGGACTTAGTTTTCAAACCGGGAGTTCCGTGCTAGTTTCATTAGTTTCCATAACTCACATTGGTCTGTCCCAAGGTGTTTGAGGTGTTTCCCGGGCCGTCTCATGGCTGCTGCACGATTTCGCCCCCGAAGGCCTATTTTCAAGCTTAAGTGTGAAAAATGTGCATTTTTGGACTTAGTTTTCAAACCGAGAGTCCCATACTAGTTCCGTAAGTTTCCACAACTCAAATTTATCCATCCCGAGGTGTTTGAGATGTTTCCCGGGCCGTCTCGTGGCTGTTGCACGATTTTCGCCCTCGAAGGCCTAGTTTTGAAGCTTAAGTGTGAAAAAGTGCATGTTTGGACTTAGTTTTCAAACCGGGAGTCCCGTGCTAGTTCTGTAAGTTTCCACAAATCAGATTGGTCCATCCCGAGGTGTTTGAGGTGTTCCCCGGGCCGTCTCGTGGCTGTTGCACGATTTTGGCCCCCGAAGGCCTATTTTCAAGCTTAAGTGTGAAAAAGTGCATTTTTGGACTTAGTTTTCCAACCGGGAGATTGTTTTATGAGGTTTAGGTTTGTATAGGTTTAGGTTTGTATACGTTGATAATCAGGATTTTGTCTTCCTTACGAATTTTAATAGAAAAAAGATTGATAATCAAACAAGCGAAATAAAATAAAACTAACCATAAATATAGAGAACTTGTTTACAAGGCAAGACAAATACAGAGAGAACACCTTAATCATAACTAAATTAGAAACACGTCCCCACCCATTCTGCATTGGAACAAACTGAGCTTAAGTTTAAGCTTCAAGCTTAATTTCTTAAACATCATTAACTAAGATCTAGATGATTTCCATTAAATTTTGCTGTTGTCACTTAGCTGATCTAGTTTTACCTTTTCCAAACACAGTCCAGATTAATCCAAAACCATAAAATTTGCCAACAAGTTGAGGGCAAAAGGTTTCAACCACTAAAGAATAAGAAGTGGGAGATGAAAAAAGTAAATAAAACGGATCTTGGCATGCCTACTTTTCAAAAGACATGTTTATGTCTTACCAAACTTGCTCATAGGTAGGACAAATTTGTAACAATTAAATTTCAGTGTCATCTAGGACTAATCATTTTTGGGAACTAGTATCATATGGTCCCCTAGTTATACTGATATGCAATAGGTACTACATCAGACAATACTTCAACTGACAAGACGACACTTGGCAAAATACAATCAAATAAACTGGAAGGCTTCATTATTTTCATAGGAATTGGAACTTCAAAACAAAAGAACTATGCTCAAGTCGAAAATATAGAAGAAAAAAAAAATAGGGAGCATGAGTAAAGATATATCCACAAACATGTAAACAAGAAGTAACAAACTTTTACCGGTAAATTATAACTGATGACAACTTTGTTGCAGCCCATGCTGAAACAATAGAAGAAACCGAGTCAGCTAAACTCCAAAAAAAAGTGTAGAAAAACTAATATCTTCTTGACAAAAAGAAAAGACAATAAGTATACCTAGTAATTGATAATTTTTTACCCATCGAAGCTAAAAATACAAGTTTCCCACAAGGGGAGACATATAGATCTTTAACAGCTTTTGTATTTGAAGGAAGTTTTATGTCTTCATTTTGATTTGGATTAGTCAAGTTAATCTAGAAAAGCAAGTTCAAAACTGATTATGAACAGAAGAGTTGAGTGTAAGTTCTGAATAAACTTAGAGATGAATGTATATGTTGCAAAATAAAGTCTACTTCTTTGAGCAATAACTTTACCTTCTTGAGCATATGTGTCCCACCAATCACAAAAATCCTTATAGCAAGAATCAGAGTTTGATAATAACAATCCATATCAAAAATCCATGCACTCTCTACTGCCATCTCATGCTGTAATTGCAAAGATATCAAGATAGGAACACACGACAAATTGAAAAAAGACATCTTCTTGGGAGGACAATTCTACTGATATAACCAGTAAATGGTGAAGCAGATAACAGCAGGACTATAAACCTTACCAAAAGGCAACAACCAGATGTAGGTCTTGAAAAAGCTTCTATAATGAAAAGGCATCTCCTTATTTATTTCTGTCCTTAATGAATTTGTTAACCTACAAAGGAAGCTATCTGGATTTTGGTGGTGCCTTCAGTGCATCTAAGCTAGGCCATCAAAAGATTATCCCATAACCAACTTGCAAGAGGAAGGGAAGGGCATGATTGAAAGATTTGAGAATAAATATTCTACTCATTTTCAGGGTGTCACAAAGTTAGCTTCCTCTCCTCTTTCTCTCCCTTTCTTATCCCTTTTTCTATTTCACTCTACATATCATTTGGAGGCTAGGATCTCTCTCCCCTCCCCCCCTTATTATCCAACCATGAATAATATTTTTCTTGGATTGAAGAAAGGAAGTTTCAAAAGTTTTGTATCACATTGAAGCTTCCTAGATATTAAAATTAAACAAAGAAAAGAAAAACAAAACAAGAAATAAGGATAAGAAAATTCTCAAGGCAGATTAAGAAAAGAAAATCAAAACAGGAAATAAGGATAACCAAATGTAGCTTACTAAGATATTATGATTTTGATTTACATCACTAACACACACAATTCAGCACTTGCCTCTTAATATAAATTAAAAAATAACAAAAACAAAAACAAAACAAAGAATAGAATAACATTAACAAATTAGTTGACTTAGCTAGGTGCTGCTGTGATGGTGAATCAAGAAAACTTTGGTTCACGTATTAGGGACCAATTAGCATACTACGGAACAGGGGTATTACAAGAATAAAATCATATCAACTAGAAGAGTTGAGTGACAGTTTCCAGCAACACCTCAAGAGGATAATCTAGAAAAACAAATGGCAATGATATTGTTTTTCTACTAAAATTCAAAACTCACTCTAAGAGAATATAGAGAAATAAAAGTAAGTTGTCTCCTCAAAAGAGTACTATCACAGATTCAGAGCAAATATAAATTTACATGTTCGTTCGATTATCTATACAAGAACAAAACATGTGTGGTCTTTTCAACTAACTTGCTTCCAAACAAAATCAAATTTATCATTTAACTAGAGTCGGTGTGGTAGATATCAGTATTATTAAGAAACAAAACGGCTGGCCCATTAAATTAGTCACCTATTCTTCAAGAGAAACACCAAAATATGATAGTGACACCTTCCATACTCATAGCTTCTCCAAAATTAGGTTCTGTGCTACTGGCTACTGCTACTGCTGTTGTTGCTGCCTTCTTGCTGAGGCTTGTTGTCTGCTGTTGCTTGCCATTTTGCTGGTGCTTAATGATCTGATGTTGCCTGCTGTCTAACAGGATGTGGTGGTTGTTTTACAGTCTGAATTTTTATTTATTAGTATAGTTATAATAGGCTCTAGTGGTTAATTTTTGTAATCCCAGAACCTAATTTTGGATTTCTATGTGGAATGTACATGGCCTTAATTATGGTAGTAGACCTTGTTTTTGAGTTATATTTTGGATATTGTTTTGTGCTCCAGTAGCTTCTAGGTCTATCCTAATGTGTAGCTCAGTATTGATCTTGTTCCTGCTCCTTATTTGCCCCTGTGCTCATGTGGTGTTTGAACAAGTTGTTTTGTCCTGTTGTGTTTTTGGTTTTGTTGGTGGCTCTGTCTTTGTATAGTTGGTTAGCTCCTCAGACATGCCTCTTGTATCTTGTATATATTTGTCTTTTATTTTATGACTTATTCACCCAAAAAAAAAAAACACAATCGACCTCCTAGCATATAGCAATGCTAAATAAATATTAATGCAAATAATAAGGCCCTGATCGAATAACAAGAATCGAATCTACAAAAGGGATTTAGAAAGATCATAATGCTTCCATAAATTAACCTCCTTGACTATCATATAAAAGTGAAACCTTATTTCTAGGCATGTAATTCTTTTTTTATCCAGGCTTCAATCAAGAGTTCAAAACTTGAAAAAATTATGAAGAGATCAAGTATGCCATATCTGGAAAAAGTCGCTATAATAAACCAACAAGTTTTGTTTTCATTTTATTTTGTGCATGATAAATATAAGAAAATCTATAAAACAAACTTTACCATTTGGAGATCATGACTCCCTGAAGAGCTCTCAACAAGATTGGGACGTGCACGAACATCATTAACGATAGGCCTTTCAAACAAGGGAATCATCAAATGTGTTCCTTCAGGATAAACCTAGAGACATTTTTTGTTAGTGCAAGCACAAAATGACCGTGTTTGTCAGAATGAATTTAGATAGAATACAAGTAAACAGAGATACTAATTCTATATCACTGAATAAGTAACCCAAAAAATATAATTCATGCAAAAAAAAAAGAAAACAATTACTAGGATTAATGAAAAAAGGGTCTCATACTAAACTAATATTGTCCCTATCAGTCTGAAATGAATCAGGCTTCAATGCAAGTTTCATAAACTTCATTTTAAATGCTGAAGATCTGTTTTCACCTCTAAGATCCCAATACCCAACTTCAACCAACTCACCACTTCCATTACGACGGCCGCAAATCGAAACTTAAGAACAAAATTGAACAATAAAACATGGTTTCAAAATTGAACAAAATCGAAACTTAGCTAATTTATGACTTTAAGAAGCAAGAAAGTAAATAAACAATAAAACATTTGCATGGAAGAACTATATAGTTTTAAGGAATGCTAATCTAGTCCCAAAGAAGTAAGAGAAATTTAACTAGATCAAGAGGAATAACTAGTTTGCCTATTTTGCCTCACTAGGATTATTAACAAAATTGGAATTGATGACAAACATGGTTGATGTTAAGGACTTGAAATCAGCTTCAATAACATCAAAGACCTAGTCAATTTGTTCTGAAAAAATTAAATCAATTTGTCTTAAGAGTAATATCATCAAACACCATGTGTGTAGTCCTATGATTTTTTTTTCCCCCGCTCAATTCATAGGAGGGGAAAAGAAAAAGCTAAGTTGCATCAAATGGTGAGATGCGAATTCCAGCATTACTCACACTAAATTAGCAGCTTGTCTGCCAAACCAACCCTATTTGGTCTCAATAATAAGACACATTGGTCCCTTTTAGGTATCAATTCCAATAATAAGACACATTGCCTCTACTTTAGAACACCAGTGAATGGTCTCACCAATTAAAGCACCAACACAACAAAAATAGCTTCAAACAAATGCACACACAAGTGATAAAATTCATAGCTGCTTTAAACTATATGAACTGAAAGATAGATAAAGGAGCCACAAAACATAAAATGAATTCCTGAGCTAACCCATTAAGTTAAAACCAAAAAAAGGAATATACCTCAATTCCTTTATAGTTGAATCCTCACCAAGTTTCAGTGTATCAACTGAAACTTTAGGAGGTGGAGATAGCCAATCATCCTCTTCCTTATCTTCACAATCAACAACCTCTATGAATTTCTCATTCTTATCTACCTTCTCAACCTAAATTCAAATTGATACCAACACTCAAATCAATTTCAAACAAAGGCTCACATTCTAGGTTGCTAAATCATTCAAATTCAATAAAATCTACAAAAAGTAGAGATCTTTACAGCGGTATACGAATGCTTCCTTCGTTTGGGAGAGAAAGCTGGGGATGAATCTGAACAATCATCTGCAAATTCCAAAAATTAAAATGTTTAAGACGTACACACACACACACACACACATCTATATATATATATATATATAGAGAGAGAGAGAGAGATATCCAGGCTTCAATCAAGAGTTCAAAACTTGAAAAAATTATGAAGAGATCAAGTATGCCATATCTGGAAAAAGTCGCTATAATAAACCAACAAGTTTTGTTTTCATTTTATTTTGTGCATGATAAATATAAGAAAATCTGTAAAACAAACTTTACCATTTGGAGATCATGACTCCCTGAAGAGCTCTCAACAAGATTGGGACGTGCACGAACATCATTAACGATAGGCCTTTCAAACAAGGGAATCATCAAATGTGTTCCTTTAGGATAAACCTAGAGACATTTTTTGTTAGTGCAAGCACAAAATGACCTTGTTTGTCAGAATGAATTTAGATAGAATACAAGTAAACAGAGATACTAATTCTATATCACTGAATAAGTAACCCAAAAAATATAATTCATGAAAAAAAAAAGAAAACAGTTACTAGGATTAATGAAAAAAGGGTCTCATACTAAACTAATATTGTCCCTATCAGTCTGAAATGAATCAGGCTTCAATCCAAGTTTCATAAACTTCATTTTAAATGCTGAAGATCTGTTTTCACCTCTAAGATCCCAATACCCAACTTCAACCAACTCACCACTTCCATTACGACGGCCGCAAATCGAAACTTAAGAACAAAATTGAACAATAAAACATGGTTTCAAAATTGAACAAAATCGAAACTTAGCTAATTTATGACTTTAAGAAGCAAGAAAGTAAATAAACAATAAAACATTTGCATGGAAGAACTATATAGTTTTAAGGAATGCTAATCTAGTCCCAAAGAAGTAAGAGAAATTTAACTAGATCAAGAGGAATAACTAGTTTGCCTATTTTGCCTCACTAGGATTATTAACAAAATTGGAATTGATGACAAACATGGTTGATGTTAAGGACTTGAAATCAGCTTCAATAACATCGAAGACCTAGTCAATTTGTTCTGAAAAAATTAAATCAATTTGTCTTAAGAGTAATATCATCAAACACCTTGTGTGTAGTCCTATCTTATTGGTTTGATTTTTTTTCCCCCACTCAATTCATAGGAGGGGAAAAGAAAAAGCTAAGTTGCAGCAAATGGTGAGATGCGAATTCCAGCATTACTCACACTAAATTAGCAGCTTGTCTGCCAAACCAACCCTCTTTGGTCTCAATAATAAGACACATTGGTCCCCTTTAGGTATCAATTCCAATAATAAGACACATTGCCTCTACTTTAGAACACCAGTGAATGGTCTCACCAATTAAAGCACTAACACAACAAAAATAGCTTCAAACAAATGCACACACAAGTAATAAAATTCATAGCTGCTTTAAACTATATGAACTGAAAGATAGAGATAAAGGAGCCACAAAACATAAAATGAATTCCTGAGCTAACCCATTAAGTTAAAACCAAAAAAAGGAATATACCTCAATTCCTTTATGGTTGAATCCTCACCAAGTTTCAGTGTATCAACTGAAACTTTAGGAGGTGGAGATAGCCAATCATTCTCTTCCTTATCTTCACAATCAACAACCTCTATGAATTTCTCATTCTTATCTACCTTCTCAACCTAAATTCAAATTGATACCAACACTCAAATCAATTTCAAACAAAGGCTCACATTCTAGGTTGCTAAATCATTCAAATTCAATAAAATCTACAAAAAGTAGAGATCTTTACAGCGGTATACGAATGCTTCCTTCGTTTGGGAGAGAAAGCTGGTGATGAATCTGAACAATCATCTGCAAATTCCAAAAATTAAAATGTTTAAGACGTACACACACACACACACACATCTATATATATATATATATATAGAGAGAGAGAGAGAGAAAGAGGATAGACCATTGAGGCAGACAACATTGAAGGGTTGAGCACGGTGGTAATCGAAGAGAGGTTTGAGTTGTTCTTCGGTTGATTTGCCTGTAAAATAGAGAAATCGAAAATCAAGTTCAGAAACACTAGAAGAAAAAAAAATAATAATAAAAAAAAATAAAAACAGTACTTGGAAGATTAGGGGGCTAGAACTTGAAGTTTCACACCATTAGGGTAGAAGAAATTGGGACCAAAGTCGCAATAATCGTCGAGGGAGAAGCAGAGGTCGGAGTTGGGATCTTGTATGGTTTCAAGGACGCGGTTCTGATTAAAGAGTTGTTGGGAGGGTTTGAGAGTGTTGGTGTAGCGTAATGATTGGAGTAGGAGGGGGTCGAGGCTAAGAAGAGGGGAAGGGGAAGAAGGGCATTGGAGGGAGTGGCAAAAGAGGGATTCCGATGGAAGGCGGTGGAGGAAATTGAAAGGACAGGGGCAGAGGGCGGTGGTGGTGGTGGTGGTGGCGGTAGTGGGCAGGAGAGTGGAGGTGGAGTGGTGGGTGGTTTCGGAGAGGTGGATGAGGTGTTTGAGTGTTGAGAGAGCGGTTGGGAGATCGGGAGGCTGCGGCAGAGGCGGAGGTGGCGGTGGTGAAGTGATTGAGTTGGTGGTGGTGGTGAAAGAGGCAGTAAAGGAAGAAAGGTCAGGTATGGTGATGGAGATGGATGATTTGAGAGTGTAGTTTTGTATCTTTTTTTCATTTTTATTTCCCCTAAAATATTTACCCTAAAATATTTAGTGACTAAATTATTTTTTGCTGACAAAATTATTTTTTCATCAAAGGTAAAAATATTGGCCACAAAAATAGTTGTCCCTAAATAATATTAAAATGTTAAAAATTATTAGTGACAAAAATATATTCGTCATTAATAATTTTATAATTGATGACCAATTTTTTTGTCACCAAAAATCTATTAATTTTGGCGCCCTCCGAAAATATTAGTGGGAAAATATTTGGTGACAAAAAAAATATAAATAATGACGAAATATAATTTCGTCACCTATTTTTTTTATTATGATTTAGATTGGTGACGAAATTTTATTCTTGTCTCCAAAAATGACACATTTGGAGACGAAATATGATTTTCGTCATTAAAAGATACGTATTTCGTGACAAAAAAAAAATTCGTCATTAGTTTTCGTGTCTAAAGATTATTTTTGTTGTAGTGTTCCCTTTTTGCTACAACAAAGAGCAAACAGAGGCAAAGCAATGTATTCTCAAGGGTTATCTGTACTGTTACTCTACTTATGATTACACAAGTTCAAAGGAGTGTAACTCTTGGCCCTCAAACTATCAACCAAGCATTTTCCATGCATGATGGCCAAGGAACCAAGCTTGTACAAGCTTAACGAAATCATAAACAAGACTAAAACAATCACCACCCTATCATGCATGATCAAGGGTGACGGTGACCAAGGAAAGTGGCACACTTCATCACTTCGAATATGAAATGTCCCATCTTCCTCGTGTTCGAATTAACGTCTGATTCGAACACATGCAATGCAACACAAAAGATGTTTTTCTTACCTCTTTTACTTGTCCATTTTTGTTTCCTCATTTTAGATTACTAATCCATTCTGTAATTAATTAGTCCAAAAGTAAGTGTCCTCTAGTGGAAAGTGGGCTTAAACCACAAGTACCTCGGGCACGAAAGAGACCTCATGCAGTTGATAATGAGCCCCGAAGGGATTAAACCATTAAGTATGAATGTCTCAATTTTACACTTAAGCAAATCAGTGGTTTAAAACAACTTTCAAAGCAAACGAGAAAGGGAAGAATACAGAGAGAGTGCAAAGATTTTCGTACGGAAATGGAGTGCAAAATAACACTAAAACATGCTTTCGACTCAAAAGAATGATGATCAAAGCATTAAAACACCAAGCTAATGAAGGAATTAACACTTCAACCATGCCATAAAAGGCTCAAAGGACTTGACCAACCCAAAACAAAGCTAAAAAAAATCAAAACAGTAGCAAAAACATGCTGGACCAAAGCTAAGTTAGGCTATAAAAACATGCTAACATGTAAGGCAACTAGGCATGCAAGCCAGACAACAAGGAGGGGAGGCTAACCCCTCCAATTTTGGACTTCAAATGAAGGTTTTTGTTACTAAAAAAACTCGAGTTTCAGTGGTCAAAAGGCCCAAAAATTTTGATTTGAAGGTGATGAAAAATAGCACAAAAAGTTTCACAAGCTAAAGAGCAAAAGGAGGGAAGAATCCCTAACTCACAAAGGCTCAAACCACCACTTTTATGCCTCATAAACAGAGGTTTTCATACTTCCAAAACAGCCTTTAAACAATTGAAAAAGATGGCAAAGCAAGTATGCACAACAAGCTTAAGTGAAGTATATTATATACCTTTGAAGCAAAGTACAATTCAGCCACAAATTCAAGCTCAAACCCCCTTCCCAGGCTCAAACAAAGCTCCAAGGGACCTCAGCTCTAAGGTGAGAGTGTTTGGTTTAGGGTTGATGTGCAAAAGTGTAGAAAAAACTAACTACAAAGCACAAAATATCAAGTGAGAGAGAGAAAGCTAGAGAGAGAGAGAGAATTTTTTGGTCTAAAATGTCTAACCTCCCAAAATGGGGGAGGCACCCCCCTATATATAGAAAAACAAGGTTTGAGCTTCTATACATCCTACCATACACATGTATAAAGATGCAGCTCAGTGAACAACAGCTGGCACAACTGGCAAACAAATATCAGGAAAAAGGGACCAATGGCCATCGGCCACCACTGGTAGCCGACAGGCACAAACCATGGCCGACAGGTCCCAGGGCTGGCCGACAGGTCACCTTTTGTTCCAGGCTGGAAGCAACAAGCTCTAGGTCCAAAAACATGCATAAAACAGAAAGGTTTAGAGGCTCAAAGACAAGGCATTCTGCCGAGGACTTCGGGCGCTCAAAAATGAACACAAACAAGGACAATCATCGAGTGCACAAACGGTGACGTCCAAGTCTTAAGGATGATCAAAAATGGGGTGTGTACAGTTGCCCCTCTTTGACAGAACTCAAAAGTCATGAAGCGACAGGAGTGAATGTCAAAGCCCAGAGACAACCCATTTTTGACAAGGCCAA